TGGGTTAGCTAAAGGTATACAAAAAGCATAAAAATAACAAGTTAACTTAGCTAACGTTACGTTAAAGTAAAATATTTACAGAAAAGAAATGACTTCACCAAACTGTTTCCACCACAGAGGATTACATCACTAACAAATAATAATCTAACAATACTAACACTGTACTGTAAGACGTAGTGCAGAGACAGTGAGTGGTTTAGCTCCTGACAGAAAGGAGGAAAAGTCCACAGTCTGTTTGCCTCAGAACCAAACTGGTGCGTCAGAGTTAGACTTACATTTTAAAACAAGAAGTTCTTATGCTTTTAGTCAGTTGAACACAATTCAGATAATTAAACTTAACAATTATTTAACACATATTAACAATTATGTTTTGAAGGTCGGTGCTCTGAACTGGCTCTGTCTGTAAAAAAATGAGAGCTTTTACATGGGACCACATCTTTACGTTGATGATTATGATAAAGAATGTACAGGATAGTGTTGAACAGAACTACATTTTCACTTTTAATAAGTCTTGACCACAGTGAGGATATATATCTCATACATATCTTTTTCTTACAGGTTACTCACATCTTACACATCTGTCTTACGTACATAATAACCAGGAGTAGCTATGACTAAAGTTACTCATCTGGATTTCGTCTTTTTTGACTATGTCAAATTATTGTGCTTTCAAAGGAATTAAATAAAAAATTCAATTGAATATAATTACCATAATTTGCAGTTAGAAGATGTAGGCCTAGTACAGGTCAACGCAATATTAGTTGAGACCTGTTATTGTTGCAGTTATTCTTCTTTTTCTTATTCTTCGTCTTCTTTTTTCTTATTTTTTATTATGTCAGTATGTTAAGCTAAAAGAAATGAGTTATCTAAAGCCTTATTTGAGCTGGAGTAATTTTGCGCAGGGGGGTATTTCACAAAGCAGGATTTCTCAGTTTAGCAAGACAACTTAAGCCTGTCCAATAGTGAAAGAACTGAGGGACATTCCTTTTGGATGATCATCATCATCTTTGAGCTAAAGCAATCTGGCTAACTGAGAAATCTCGCTTTGTGAAATACCCAGATAGCCTGAATGTACATGTTAGCAGAACACACTCATGTTTGAAGTTGTGGTTTTGTAAGGCTAATTAGCTGAAAGCTCTATTTTGCACTGTATTAGTGCTAATGTGAGTTAGCCTTTATACTCCTGTGGAGGCGGAAACGGCTCTGTTATGACTGTCTACAGTCACACATACGTTGATTTCTGTATTGCTGGTTTTGTTTTGTGGCTTGTTTTGCAGGTCAGGTGTAATTTTGTGTGGATATGAGTAAGACTCACTCTTACATGTTCAGTCCTTGACTCAGTTACCTCATCTGAGCTGAGAGACTATGTGAGCTAAAATATAGCTTTGTTTTAATGTTTTTCTCTATTCTTTGGGTTTTCCATAGCTTTTACGGGGTGTTTGTGAAATCACACAGTATTAAACATCTTCATAAACCACCAGTCAGCTTTACCATTTTCTGGCAGGATGGCTACAGTAAGAGCTTCACCCTCAACATTCCTGGTGGCCTGCTGCTGAAGGATCTTAGTACTTCTGTGCTGCTCCGTCGCCTGGTGTTCTTTACAGTGGTATCTTCATCAAACTGTGAGTAACACTGCCAAGGTGAGGAACTTTTCAAGTTAAACTACGTGGAATGAAGTAGACAACATTTCACACTCACATCTCTCATTCAAAGTGAAACTGAAAGTAAAAAAAAAACATCTGCTAGTATAAATGGACACTTATGTATAAGGTTTGTTTTAAACTGAGCTTAAACTGAGTTGTCCAAGGTACAGTATTGCAATGCATTGTCCAGTAATGGTGTGTAGATGTTATATAATTGTATAAGTGAATTTTTTTGCCTTTATTCTGTTGAAGCCTGTCTCTTCCACTGAGTCAAAGTCCGAGTCACTGTTGTTCAAGTCAAAGTCGGGTCGCAAGTCTTTCTCAATTTTGTTGAGTCATCAAATTCATGACTCGGGTTTGACTTGTGTCCACAACTCTGGTGTTAGCTCATCTAAATGGGCCTCTGTCAATACAACCTCTTCATTGTTAAACATAAAACCTACCACTTTAATGTTCGTAATAGATTTTGGATTCACATAATATTTATATTGTCATTCATGCAAAACACTATGTCTCTCATGTTTTTGCAATGTAATTTAGCACAACCTGTACCAAAATGAAATAAAGCTTTGGATATTGCAGTAAGTTCATAACCTTCACTTACTAAAGTAGCCTAATAGCTACCTGCTGAGCTGGATGTTAAACAAATCTGTGTACATACCTATAGTATCATAAGCATAATTTCTGTCCTCTTCAGTCACTTTTATCTTTGTAACTACCAACATCCATGTATTCATGAATTTCCTGCTGTCCAAACCAGATTAACTCATTAAGTTAATCATCATCATCACTTTTAATTATATAGTGCATTTTCCATGCTTAAGGATGCTTTACAATCAAAGAGCATGAACTCAATAAACAGTTAACAACAAAAAGACAACACAGGTAAACTTTCAAGTATAAATGGAATGACATAGTGAGAACAAGTAAAGCTTTACAGAGATTTAAATGAAGACAGGGTGGTGGCATCCCAAATAGACTTTGGGAAAGTATTCCAATATTTGGAAGCTACTACACTAAATGTTTGACCACTCATAGAAACCAATTTAAACCTTGGATCATGAAGAAGGCGTAAATTTTGTGATCTTAAAGTACCAGATTGGACATAAAGATAAAGAAGCTCAGCCAAATAATGAGAAACCAGACCATGCAAAGTTTTAAATGTAGTAAGGAGAACCATGTACTAAACATGGTAACCCGTTTAGACTCTGAAGGACCGGAATGATATGATTATTCTTCTTTGAAAAGGTGACAATCCTAGCAGCGGCATTTTGAACATACTGTAACCTAGTGAGGGCTTTGACAGGGATGTCAGATAGAAGAGCACTGCAGTAGTCTAGCTGTGATATAACTAATGCATGCAAAAGTGTTTCTACATCATCTTGGCTGAGGAATGGTCAGAGACAAGCATTATTACGAAGATGGAAAAACGCTGTCTTAACAACAGGATTGATGTGAATGACCACACTCTGTTTTGTCAAAGATAAAGCCCAGGCTGTGGTCGTGGGGAGAAGGTGTTATCAGAATCCCATCAATATTGATGCCAACTACAGATTAATTAGATATCCGTGCCTTTGAGCCAATTAAAAGCAACTCAGTTTTTAAAAGTTCGTTTTGAAACAGGAGTTTCAAACTCATCCATGACTTTGTCATGAATACAGGCAGATAAAGCAGGTGGTGGTACAGGCTGAGCAAGGTGGACACTGACATAATGGCATATTATATGGCCAAGTTGCAGCATGTAAATGGTAAAGAGCAGTGGACCTAAAACTGAGCCCTGCAGAACACCTTTAGTGGCAGACACTATAGATGATTTATTATTCTGAATAGCTACATATTGCTATCTATCTATAACTGTGAAGACATGAGGAAAGCCAGGAAAGGGCGGATCTGGAATATGAGATGAGATAATGAGATATGGTATCAAAAGCGGAGCTAAGATCAAGAAGCATCGGCACACTAACAGCTCCTGAATCAGCTACACCCAGGAGATCATTAGTAACCCTTAGAAGTGCAGTCTCCGGACTGAAAAGGCTCATATAAATTATTTGCCCTCTAGGTGGCACTACAACTGTGTAGCAAATATCGTGTCCAACAGCTTAGCAGCAAATGGAAGATTAGAAATCGGTCAGTAATTATTTACGTCATTAGAGTCTAGCACCTGGCTTTTTCAGGACAGGGGGTTGCAGCCTAGCTAACTAGTTTACTCATATTTGATAGTCGAATGGTCAAACGCGTCATAGACTATATGAACAATCAGTACTGTTGTGCTCTCTCCACTGCTCTTCTCACTGTACACTTATGACTGCAGCTCCACAGACGCCTCTGTCAAAATCCTGAAGTTTGCAGATGACACTACAGTCATGATCTCAGCCGTGATGATGGTTAAAAAACTAGTCTTCTGGAGCAGTCACTACTTGAGGTACACTCAAAACAGCGGAGATGATGATGGACTTCAAAAAAGAGATAAATGGAAAACTAGTACTCAATGTGTCCACCCTGTACATTAATGCAAAGACTACCACTTCAACTCTTCCATCTTTCCAAAAGTGCATTTTCTCAATTTTTGCAAATCTTATCTTTAAATTCGCCTTATAAAACAAGTTGTCTTGTTTTTTATGGATCTGTGTGGTTTGAAAATGCTTTTTTTTTTTTTCCAAACTTTCTTTGCAACAGAAGGAAGCGATATTCCAATTATCTTTGAAGTTTTACCAACATTACCTTGCAATTTAATGAGTTTGAATATGTACATTTCTAAGAACAGCCTCGATAATGGACTAAAACTTAACTAGTAGATCTTTTCTTACTTTGTATTTTATTAATAGTCTCAAAAAGAACATCTTTTGTCAAGATTTTTCAATATGTGATTAGAATTAATGCTCCACTTCAAAGAATCGCTCATGCAAGTTTCCCAAAATTTGAAAGATTTTACAGCAGATACTGACTGTCCCAAAACTGCAGTGGAGTTTTTACATTCTGTTTCTTCCTGTAATCCACAAAGATCTCCACTTTTTCTGGTGTATTGAGCCGGAGGTCATTGTTAGTAAACCATGTTACTGATCGATTCACCTCCTGCTGTTAACTACTCTCATTATTATGTGATAAGACTTATTATTGTGGTATCATCTGCATATTTCACAATTTTAACAGATTCACTGAGAGATACCCGATCATTGGTGTAGAGAGAAAAAAGCCACGGAGACAGTATTGAACCCTGAGGCACACCTGTATTGAGGGATGAACACTATGATGTTACATTATTGATTTTATCAGACTGTTTCCTTCCACTGAAAAAGGCCAAACAATGACACAAAGCTAAATTAATGTTTAATTTCATTAACTTTTTAATGAGCTTGGTGATATTCACTGTAGTAAAAGCTTAGCTGAAATATATCAAAAGAACATGTACATAATTGTTAGCTGGTGTAAACAAATGGAAAGATTGAAAATGTTTATGAACTGTGAAAATATGTTAGTCCAAAAAATGACAGTGTGGCTAATCAAAGTACAGTGAATGAGCTGGTCAGTCAGTGTTGTACTAAGTCATAACTGAGCTATCAGTGTCCCACAGTTCTTGCTAGCTGGTGTATGAATCATTTTCTCCTATGGTTATTCTTGGTCAGGTGGCAGGATGTTCTGTTCTTCTGCACTGTGATTGTCTTCTCCATTTCTTCTAACACATCTCATCTCATATCCTCCTCCACATGGACTACTTTTCTTCCTACATATTAGGGCTCCCAGAACCACAAACACAACTAGAAACACAGCATTCAGACCCACTGACAACCACAACCAAGGCACGCTCGCTGTTTTGTCTGGACTGGGCGGGTCATCTACAAAACAAGAGCACACAAAGATTTGAAACAGAGTTTGAACTGATAACACAGTTAAAGTTCACAGTACAGATGAGTCACAGTGAGTGATCAGACGGTTACTTCACAGCTCACTTTTCCATATTGCAGATTCAAATTAATTTCTGTGTATTTATGACTGAATTACAGTTCATTAAACCAGTGGTTCTCAGTCTATTTTAGCTGTGACCCCCTTCATCATGATAATTACAGCCTTCTTCACGTTTCTGTGTGCACACAAGACATGAACTTCATAGCGCTGGTAGCTCTGCGGTCCACGTCTGTGCACACAACCTGCATTCTAGTTCATAATATCACACGGTGACTATCAAACAAACAAAATATGGTGTTATTGGACATAAATAAACCAAACAACTTTGCAGACGTCTGATGGCTTTTTCACAGCTCAGCTATTCTGAACCTAACAATATGTCTGCTTACTCTATTAGCGTATAATCATATGATGCTCATACAGTTAGCGCACTTAGCAGCTTCACTCAGCCAGCTACAAAGTTGTTTTTTCACTCTTTCCTTCAGGCACTCTATTTTAGCCAATAGTGGCACTGGAATATTACTGAGCTATGATATTTTATGGAAACATCATTCTCAAATTAGATATGTTTGGTTTTTTCTCCAGCTACCATGCACGATTCTCCAAAGTCAATCACCACATCATGTCAGAAAAACAAATTAGGCTACTATTTATAGGAAGAATTCCAATGTGGTAAAGAGTTAAATCTTTCTGCTTCCTTTCAATTTTTAATCATTACATGGATTTTAAAGCCCCCAAAAAACAAATGTGCAGTTCAAAGGGTATAGAAATGGTTCAAAATTAATGTTAAGGCATAAAACCAATGTAACATGTTAAATTAAATGATGTTCATATTTCATTTTTTTTTCCTTTACATTTTTTACCACCTGCTTAATATTGTGAGACTGTGTAACCATGAAACTGTGTTTTGTTACTATTATTATGATAAACTGTATCCCTCCTAGTCCAGCAGTTTCCTGAACAGTGGTTTCTAACGTAAGATGTAAAAATCTCGCACTACTAACGGCTCATCCTGCCCTCCCAAAATAACCTTACGCATCAATACTAGTTATAAACAGTCTTCAGGGAAACACTGAATCTGTAATAATCTCACTAAAATCATACCTTGGACAGTCACTGTGTAGACATGAAGGACCTTTTTAGTTCTGGTATAAACTCCACTATCAGACAGTTTCATTTCGTTCAGCTCAAGAGCAGGTGACAATGACACCCTATGTTTATAATCACCACTGCACTGTGGCGAGCGTCCATCCACTGTACAGATCTGACCACTGGGAGAACTGCCTAAACCTGTGCTGTTTACCTCCACTGGATCTGGTGTTTCCAAATCCAGCACCAGAGATTCACTGGATCTTATCTGGACTGTAGAATTCAGAGCTAAGAGGAGAAACATAATCAGGAACTTTGCTCTAGTTGGGTATAAATCTGATATAAAGCACTGCATATGAATCACTGGAGTTCTGTCAGAAACAGTCAGTGAAGAAAACAGATGAACAGACTTACCATTAATGCTGAATTCCACATCTCTGAGAGCTGTTCCATCACACTCACATGCATATGTATCTCTCATACTGAAATCAGCGTCAGTGATGATGAGAGACAGATCTCCCTTCAGGTACTGATCATGGATCATCTGATATCCAGCTTTTACTGACTGGCATGAAGTCTGATCACACTGAGCCACAACATCATCATTACTTCTGACCCATGTAAACAAACCAGAACAGGTCACAGAGCAGGGCAGAGTAGCATTCCCATGAAGATTCACCTTTACTGAAGGAACAGCTAACAGAGACAGAGGAGGAGGTTAAAACATTGACTTTCATGATTAAATTTCATTAGTAACTCCTGGTGTGGCTACTGCTCCATACACATGATTGATGTACGTAAAATACAGATTTATTGGTCAGTTAATGCTCACATGAAACTTTGAAAAAAAATGGCGCTTTCGGTTTTTGGCTGAGAAAAGACAAAAAAGAAGAGAAAGAGAAAATGTTGGCTGAAAAAAACAAAAAAGACCAAAATTTTAAAATATAAAAGCGAGTGTGTCTTAAATTTCAGAAGGCAAAACTCTTCTAGAAAAGGCACATCTTCTAGATAGGTAGGTAGATAGATCACTTTATCAATCCCAGAGGGAAATTCTCCTATCATCACATCTTCATCAGTATGATGTTTATTTTGAGATCATTTGAGGCCGAAACATCGAGGCGGACCTTCTTTTTGAGTCTGTGTGTGACGTTAATACATAAAGACATACAGCGTGGTGTGAAAAACTCCTGAAATGACGCCTCTGACTTTTAAATGATTATTTCAGGCTTTAAAGGCGACTCACAGCAGAAAACACTCCCCATATTTTTGCCTGTTTTTATCCTCCTCACTCAGTAATAATACCACTTTCAGTTTTCACTGGTGCTACAGTTCAGAGTTTACAAGTAAGGTACAGATTTCATGGGACCCTGTACGACTGTGATTCTGGTAGCAGTGCAATAATATTGCCAGTTTTCAGAGAGCAAAACTTAAACTTGTACAAGATCTGAATGAATGAAAAGTACAAAATATGGGCAAAACACAAATTTGCACATCTGAAAATGGAACTAGATGCACCAAAACCCCAAAAATTCACCTTTTATATTCAAACTTCAATAAATTTATATTCAGGATCTAATGTATGCCTTTAATCATAATTCAGGAAATACAATATATTTTGGCTTTAATTTAACTCAATATATGACCCCCAATATTTCAGTTGCCCCCAAAAATAGTCAAGAATTGGTGGGAATGCATTAAAATCCAGTCTTTTTATAACTGTTAGGACTTCAAAAGTCGTATCCCAGGCTGAAGCAAACTACTTGTGCATAAACGGATATGGATTCAGAACAGAGGCACTGCTGTGGTGGACGGCTGCCTCACCTAGACAATCAAATAATCTTAATACACTTAAAACTATCATTAATGACCCAGTTAGCAGTTTCCAGATCACCTGTGTCTGGAGCTGTGAAGTATTATGTTAATGCACAGCACACAACTCAACACACTTTAACTCAATTCACTTCCTAAAAAATAGATGAACACTTACAGTCAATGTGAAGCTGCACAGCACTGATGGTCTTATGATCACACCAACATGTGTACTCGCCACTCTTACTGAGATCAGCTACAGGTATGATGAGAGACAGATTCCCTTTCTCGTACTGTTTATGGAACATTTCAAATCCATCTTTTACTGACAGGCATGAAGTCTGGTTACACTGAGCCACAACACCACTAGAGTTCTGGGACCACCTGAACAAACCAGAACATCTGCCATTGCATGGGAGAGTCGCTGAGTCATTAAGCTTCACCTTTACTTCAGTGGGAGCTGCTCCACACACTGAAAATAGAATAAGAAAGAACTGGTTAAAAATGGTCTTGGCAAAAATAATGGTATCACATCAGCATGAATATCATACGCTTCAGTGTAAGAAAACTGTAGAAACAGAACTGGCTATTTTACTGTAGGCTTTAATGTGTTCTACTATCTATTGTCTGTACACTCTGTACAGACACAAATTTTGGTCTTCACAAAGTTTGCTGCTTCAGAGTTTATGGTGGCAATTTGCATTAACTCTAGGTTGTTATGAAGAGTGATCAGATGAATTACAATTAATTGCAAAGTCATTCCCTGCCATGAAATTGAACTGAATCACAAAACCCACATTTCCACTGCATTTCAGCCCTGCCACAAAATGTCTTGCTAACAACAATTCAGTGATCTTCTCGTTAGCTCAGGAGAAAGTGTTAACAAGGACAAGGCAGCTGATATCGCTCTGTCATTGCTGATTGAAGCAGACTAGTTGCTTTAAAAGGGGGGTGGTGATTGAGTTCATCGTCTTCTTCTGTTAACCATGGTTACCTCCCTGTCTCCTAATGTGGGTTCAGCTATGAGATCGGGTCACCACCAGTGCAGGGCTTGCTCAGGGATGGCAGCAGGCAGGTGTGAGTACATCTGCATGCACAGTAAGGTGAAAGCTTTTGGAGGATGGCCTGGTGTCAACAAGGGCAGCAAAGAAGCCACTTTTCTCCAAGAAAAACATCAAGAACAGACTAACATTCTGCTGGAAATACAGGGATTGGACTGCAGAGGACTGGAGAAGTTATCTTCTCTGATTGAAGACCTCTTCAGACAGTTCAGGACATCTAGAAAAATTATTGTTGAAAGAAGAATTGGTGAGCGATACCATGAGTCCTGTGTCATGCCAAACATTGAAAACTTTTGGGTACATGGCCAGAACACTCCCCCAGATCTCAATCCTTTTGAGAACCTGTGTTCAATCCTCAAAAAGTGGGTGGACAAACAAAAACACAGACATTGTGATAAACTGAAAGCACTGACTAAGCAAGAAGGGGTTACCATTAGTGAGGAATTGGCCCAGAAGCTGATATCCAACATGCCAGGGCAAATTGAAGAAGTCTTGGAAAAGAAGGTTCAACACTGTAAATAGTAAGTCTTTGCATAAACTTCATGTATTTGTATAAAAGTTAAAAAACTTATGAAATGCTTATAATTGTACTTCAGTGTATCATAGAAAAATCTGACAAAAGATCTAAAAACTCTGAAACAGCAAACCATCCTGTACGTGTTCACCGTGTTCTACATCTACCATGCTGTACGTGTTCAGCATGCTCTACATCTACCATCCTGTATGTGTTCCTCCATGTTCTACATCCACCATCTTGTACGTATTCACCATGTTCTACATCCACCATCCTGTACGTATTCACCATGTTCTACATCCACCATCCTGTATGTGTTCCTCCATGCTCTACATCCACCATCCTGTACGTATTCACCATGTTCTACATCCACCATCCTGTACGTGTTCCACCATGCTCTACATCCACCATCCTGTATGTGTTCACCATGTTCTACATCTACCATCCTGTATGTGTTCCACCATGTTCTACATCCACCATCCTGTACGTGTTCAGCATGTTCTACATCCACCATCCTGTATGTGTTCCACCATGCTCTACATCCACCATCCTGTACGTATTCACCATCTTCTACATCTACCATCCTGTATGTGTTCCACCATGCTCTACATCTACCTTTCTGTACATGTTCACCATCTTCTACATCCACCATCCTGTACGTGTTCAACATGTTCTACATCCACCATCCTGTATGCGTTCACCATGTTCTACATCTGCCATCCTGTATGTGTTCACCATGTTCTACATCCACCTTCCTGTACGCGTTCCTCCATGTTCTACATCTACCATCCTGTACGTGTTCACCATGTTCTACATCTACCATCCTGTACATGTTCCACAATGTTCTACATCCACCATCCTGTACGAGTTCACCATGCTCTACATCCACCATCCTGTATGTGTTCCACCATGCTCTACATCTACCTTCCTGTACGTGTTCACCATGTTCTACATCCACCATCCTGTTTGTGTTCACCATGTTCTACATCCACCATCCTGTACCTGTTCACCATGCTCTACATCTACCTTCCTGTACGTGTTCACCATGTTCTACATCTGCCATCCTGTACATGTTCACCATGTTCTACATCCACTGTCCTGTATGTGTTCCACCATGCTCTACATCTACCATCCTGTACGTGTTCACCATGTTCTACATCTACCGTCCTGTACATGTTCACCATGTTCTACATCCACTGTCCTGTATGTGTTCCACCATGCTCTACATCTACCTTCCTGTACATGTTCACCATGTTCTACATCTACCTTCCTGTACATGTTCACCATGTTCTTTATCTACCATCTTATATATGTTCCACCATGTTCTACATCTGCCTTCCTGTATGTGTTCCACCATGCTCTACATCTGCCTTCCTGTATGTGTTCCACCATGTTCTACATCTGCCTTCCTGTATGTGTTCACCATGTTCTACATCTGCCTTCCTGTATGTGTTCCACCATGTTCTACATCTGCCTTCCTGTATGTGTTCCACCATGTTCTACATCTAACATCCTGTACGCGTTCACCATGTTCTTTATCTACCATCCTGTATATGTTCCACCATGTTCTACATCTGCCTTCCTGTATGTGTTCCACCATGTTCTACATCTGCCTTCCTGTATGTGTTCCACCATGTTCTACATCTGCCATCCTGTATGTGTTCCACCATGCTCTACATCTGCCTTCCTGTATGTGTTCCACCATGTTCTACATCTACCTTTCTGTATGTGTTCCTACACATTATTTTTACTTAAAAATGTTGTCAAGTGGTTTCACTCTAGTGTGTTAAGCAGCAATCACACAAATGAGTTCTAATTTACTGGATGAATCATTTTTAAATGTTACTTTAAAATTCAGCTTAATACAGTTATGTTCCATTAATTTAAGAATGCAAAATGAATAGATCAGTTAAATCTACATCATTTCCTTAAGTTATTATTGTGTTACTGAGTTCACGTTACACTCAGCAGTAGGTTACATGGTAACTTACACTAACAGCCAACAACAGTGTGGCTAGGAGGTTAACTATGAAGTTAACACACAATGAAACGTAGGCCAGACAACACGAAGAGGGAGAGGAAAACAATTAAAACAATATGCAAAAAGATGATGCAGGAACCCATTGGAAAAATTTTACAGTCACCAACAAAAATTCTTATAAGGTACTTTTAAAAACTCTTATGGTGTTCTTACCAGTAGTGAATGTAGTGGTTAATAAGATCAGGACACAGAGAGCAGAACTGCAGAACTGCATAACTGACCTACAGACACACGCACACACCATCAGTACTGACCAGGGGGTCACTGAGTTGACTATAATGTATATGATCATTTCCATAGATTAACACCACTTACCCTCATGTTACTGTACGTCTTACTTTCTGATAGCTTAAACACATCAATACATTTAAAAGATAAACATTTTCATATAATCATCAAAATTCAAAAAGTCACGGAGTGGTTCTCCCTGCATGTGTTCTCTCTCTGCATCTCCACTCTAGGGCTGTCAGCTGGGATCAGAAATAACATGTTCATTTTGCCCTAATTTGTTGTCTTGTAATTTTAAGGTGTAATTTTAAATGTTTTTAAAGACAGTAAATGCTGGCTTTCTAAGTCCCGTGTTATGTCTTCTCATTTCCACAAGTGGGCGCTCATAAGCATCTCTCAAAAGCTCACAATGGTGTAAAACAGCAGTTCTTATCCTGAGGGTGGTGAGCACCCCTGGCCAAAATGTCATTTGGCCAGGGGTGCTCAAACATTTGCACATCTTTGAGAATGACTTTTCCATAAAACCCAGTGACACTGTGTTGTCCTTATGGAGCAGAAAGTTGCTGAATATGAGCTCACTGAGTTGAGGTATAAAATCTAGTCTATAACTGGCACTCATTTCATAAAAGTGAAAAATGAAAGATGTTCTCTTACTTTAGTACAGAACTGGATATTGATACATAAACATCTGTTCCTCTAATGTATTGAAAGAAAAGGAAAGGACAGAAATGAGATAATAGAGGTTCATAGTACAAAGGTACAAACATCTGCAGTAGCTGGAAAGCCCTGGTAACTAACAGGTGGGGTTAGAATTTGGTCAATCCGGTCTGATCCTCTTCTAACTGCCCTTCTAAACTGATGTTTCAATGGAGTTCCACTTTCAGACAGACTGCCCACTGGTCAGCAAATCAGTACATGTTGCAACATCAGCTGGTTTCACGACAAGAGATGGGTGCTTCCTAAATGTATGCCTGTGTTACTGATTGTGCTTGTCTGATTCATCATGTTAAGGAGAGAATGAGGTAAAACTGCCCATAAACAAACAGCTGTACGTTTAGGAAGCAGCCACCTCTTCTGTGAGGCTGTTATGGAGAGAAACACATTTAGTGTAATCACTGATTCTGCTGAACGGGAAACTCATTCAGGTTATTTTCACCAATGTACAAAAACAGGGGCACATTAGAACTGAACTGGTGGTTGGTTTAGTGTAGTAGGTAACACCTCTGCCTAGACTGGGGTTCAATCTCCTGCCTGGGCCAGCACCCTACACTACACTGATAAGAGTCCTGGGGCAAGACTCCTAACACTACCTTGGTCTGCCTGTGTGAAAGTCGCTCCAGATAATTGTGTCTGCTAAAATGCCATAAACATCGTTTCCTCAAATGAGTGTAAGATAAAGTACTGGTGTGCAGTATTTTAACCAACCCAGTATGTTAAGTCAATAATGCACAGTTAACACAGTTTTTCCATATTGTCAATATTAAACAAGCTGCCTAACATAGTAAACATAGTTCTAACCGAATAAAACCTCACATATAAGTGTTCTCTTCTGACCTTCCATGTCATAAACTCTTAAGAAAGATGGTTCTTCAATGGTTTCTTAGTAAAGACAGTGGTTCTACATAAACAGTCAAAGAACCTTTTGCATGCATAAATGGATCTATATAGAACAATGGTTCTTCACTTTGATGGAGAATGTGTTGTATATGGTTTAAATAGAACCTTTTTGAAAATGGTTCTGTGTGGCACCAAAAAGGGTTATGCTGGTGTCATAAGCTTGACATCGTAACAACAGAAGAACCCTGTTTGAACCATTTCCGTAAACGTTCCATATAAAAAAAACGTAGCTGCAACAAATGCTCTATCTATCTGAAGGACCGTTCTATATAGTTCCGTTGTCTTTACTAAAGAACCCTTGAAGCTTTTGTGAAGGTTCTTCCAGGAAGAACGCAACTTCATTCATTCATTAGGCCACTCCCGACCAATCACTGGCCTACATCTGTCTCTAAAATGACTCAACTTACATACCTATTCTGCTGCTTTCAGGTGCCCACGTTCCCACGTTCCCCTCCTTCCTCCCCACCACCACCAGTTTGGTCCTCGTCTTGTTGTCTGGGGGGGGGTACTTGATCCGACAGGATCTGCGAGGGGCACCCCAAGGCCTGGACCGAGGACGGGGCCTACGCCAAAGATGCTTTGATTTCTACAGAGTTATCTTGTTCAGTCCTGTCGAGGGTTAAAATGGTCTTCTTCACTCCCGACTCTTCCTGGTAGAACCGTCTTTTTAAGAGTAGCAATGTATTATAAGCATTTCACGTTCATGAGAAAAACTCCCTCATTTAGTCTCAATTAATGTACTTTAATTTAATTACAGTAACAATCACACTGAGCTTCCATCTGTCGACCTCAACTGAAAGGAGATATAAAGTCAGCTGACGGATCTGAGTTCTCGTGATCTCGTCTTTTACCCACAGAGCTCTCGTATCTGCAGAGTCGTCATTTTTATTTCCCAGTAAACTTGAGGCTCTGACGATTAGTTTAGAGACTAGCCTAAGTCTGATTGTTCTTGTAGTCCAGAATTAAGATCTTTTTGTATTACAATGTTGTCACCAATCAAAAGCATCAAACTATTCAGATATTTGAGGTTTATTATGTTAATGTTGTTCTAATAATGAAATAGAATAGGTAGAGGAATCCTATATTGACAAGACAACCATCAAGCCTTTGTTTTAAAACCAATACAAACCCAATAGTGCGATCATTATTATTATTAATAGTATTACAACAAAAGGTATTTTATTAAGAGAACATGATTTATGTGAAATGGTCATGATTTATTTAATCTGTACTCTTTTACTGTTGAGCTTCACCGTCACCATTTTACAAAACCGTTCAATAGTTGGTTAAATTTGACATTCAGATCAGAACCTAAAACACTGCTTACGCTGCTATAATCCATAATAAACTCACCTTCTGAAATCAAAATGCTGGTATTTTCATTCTGCTGTGCTGTGACCTCTGTTCTCTTTCTGTACAGACAGGCTGAATGTTTTACTTTCCTTTCTTTACTGATGTTTTAGGGAAGTGGGGATCAAGGGTGGATCAGGAGAATCAAGTGACCCATCAAAACAGGCCATACATATCAGTGTAGAAGCAAATAAAGCAGCAGTTAGTGGACGAAGCTGGAAAGATAAATAATTACAGAATAGAAATATTATACATTCTGAAATGTAACGCTGGGTAAGACGCCCACACAGACTATGACATAAATATCATAGAATATCCCATGAATGAGAGGTCGCTTAATCTAACCAGTATAATCTGGCCAGTATAAACTAGTGTGACGTTATTAAAAAGCACCATCTGCTGGAAAACTACACTGAACAGTGTTTCAATAGACACTGTGTGGCCCAAACTCAACTCCAGCACTGCATTCTCAAATGAGGTTTTCTTGCAATAAACTAGAATAAAGTTTAGACAAACAGTTACACGCATCATTTCCTCTCTAATGCATGGTGCATGTGCTCCATGCATGTGCTGTGTTTATAACAGTCTCAGTCCAGTCAGGTCAGGATTACACCAGTCTATTCTGAGACTCTTGTCCATTCTGGTCCACTCCTCCATGAACTAGAGCACTTTTCAGAGTTCTTCTGTGCCTGATACAGCATTTCTCCTGCTGATCCACATTGAAAACTGGGACTGAGGTCAGAATCAGAATCTAAGCTGTGGTGCTCATGCAAAAAAGACCACCAACATAACAGAGTTGAATCAGCTCTGTAAGGAGAAACGGGCCGAGACTCTTCCAAGTCAATGTGCAGGGCTGATCAGCAGATACAGGAACCGGTTGGTTGACATCATCACTGCTTCGGTTCCTCAAAGCAGAGGTTCACATACTTTTGCCAACAAAGACATTTAATGCTAGATCACTTTGTTCAGTAAATGAATGAAAAACTGTATGATTGTTTACATTATTTGTTTAACTGGGTTTTCTTTATTTATTATTATGAGTTAATTGAAGATCTGATCATATTCAGGTCACATTTTAGTAGACATTCATAAAATGATAAAGGGTGCACAAACATTTAAGCAGTACTATATGTTCACAACAAAGGTAGCGATGGTCAGCTTTTTCACTGTGGCTGGACTGTTGGTTTAAACCAGCCTTACCTGAATATCATCTACGTTCTTGAACAGAACCTGTGAACCCAACACTCATGAGAGGAGCTCACCTGAGAGCCGACTGTCTTAATGTACAGGACAAAGGCCTTAAAGCTGCTGTACAGCGTGAGAATAAGAGCTTTGAGGGGAAGTTAAAAAATAAATGAATAAACAACAAACAACAGAGTGTAAACATGCAGACAGGAGTCAAGGAGCTTCCCATGAACCCACCAAGCTTTACAGTGAAGACCCTTCCTTCTTGAAAGGGACTCTTATTATGCCCCATTACAATTTTTGTGTGTTTATATTTGTTTATATTTACAAAATCCTATCAATTTGGTCACCAAAACACTAAAAGTCAATTATTTGTATGTCTGTCAGTTAAATTAAGGTTCAAGAAAACGATGAAGGACTAGAGGATGACCAACACAAACTGTGCAGCAGCAGATGAGCTATCGTCTCTAACTTTACATCTACAAGGTGGACTGACAAGATAGGAGTGTCTAATAGAGTGGACAGTGAGTGGACACAGTGTTTAAAAACTCCAGCTGCACTGCTGTGTCTGATCCACTCAGACCAGCACAACACACACTAACACACCACCACCACGTCAGTGTTACTGCAGTGCTGAGAATGATCCACCACCCTAATAGTACCTGCTCTGTGAGGGTCCATGGGGGTCCTGACCACTGAAGAACAGGGTAAAAGGGGGCTAACAAAGTATCAGAGAAACAGATGGACTACAGTCTGTAACTGTAGAACTACAAAGTGCACCTATATAGTAAGTGGAGCTGATAAAGTGGACAGTGAGTGTAGAAACAAGGAGGTGGATTTAATGATCTATGTTTTATATTGTATTATATTATATAATATACTACATGGGCCAACTTCTACAGCTGATATAATCAGTGCAATCACAGTAACAATTCAATGAATAAATAAGGTTCAAAACTGACTGTGTGTATTTTCACCACCTGTCAGTCTCACTGTAGACATTCCTCGAGGCCCCTTGACTCCACATTCATCTTACAGCGCCAGTGTTCTTCAAATGAGGATGTGTTTTGGCAGTGAAAAAGGATGAAGTGTCTTTTTCCACAAGGCTGACTTTACCTAAAGAACCATCCCTGCTCTCCTCCACTGGACACCTCACTGTAGTTCATTTTTATTTCATTACTTTATTCTGTTTATTGGCCGGTACAGTCTGATCAGCATAATGCTGAGAGTAATTAACACTGCTGCTACTGCTGCCCTCTGGTGGCTAAATAGGGTAAAACAGTGGAAGTGTTCATTACTTTATTTTTGTTTACACTCTTTTCACATTTTACTTTTACTATCAGACAAAACTGACTGTTGAAAGATCTTGGTGATCTATAGATATGGGTGTATAGATGTGAGTGAATTATCTACTATATTCATCACATCTTCATCAGTCTAATGTTGATTTTGAGATCATTTGAGACTTAAACATCAAGCTAGAGCTTCTTTTTGAGTCTGTGTTTGATGTTGACTATGAAAAGACGTATGATGTGGTGTGAAAAATCTTCCATAGTGCAGCTTTAAACTAGCTAACTACACATTATATCCTTGTTGAATATCGTCATAGGCTTGTAATTTTCCTCATTTCATATTATCATTTAAAGAAATGTAAATAAACACAATAAGATTAATTAATTTTTCAGTTTGTTTTGTATATTGACATAACTTAATTCTGAAATTTGCCAAAGTCTTCTAATAAAATATAGAGGTCTGCACTGTAGACATTGAGAGCACCAGTCATTCTAATAAGGTTTCTACCATCATGAAAGGAAACAGACTGGATCACTGAACACGTCTGTACTTGGTGTCATGCTCATATACAGAGCTTCAGGTCAAAGTTGGTTTTCTGTATGGAGCTGTGTCACTCTGTGTTGAACTACAGTCCAAAACGTTTTTCAGTGTTTATACCACACTAACAGTACCTAAGACAGAAGTTCAGTTTAACCACCAGAGGGCAGCAAAGCTTCTGTTTATTACTAACCACAGTGTACTCTGCACTGTGCTGAGCAGACTGTATGTGAAATAAACAAAGCAGGCGGACCTTCAGAACCTTTAATCAGGTTCTACAGAGGACAAATAAGAAAAAAAGTGTTGTTTTGGATGTACTGACTGTGTTTGTAATTATGTATATATTTGTTTTTATTTATATTTACATGTGAATATAATTATAATAAACCACTGAAGCAGAAAAACATTAAACCATTAAAACGTTTTGAGTGCTTTAATACTTCAGGGGTTTTATATGCTACTTGAAAAGTATAAATTAGCCATTTAGCTTTGTACTGGAAAAAGACTGAAGTATAAATTTGCAGTTGTAAAAAAAAAAGATTTATCTTGTCCACAGGCTTCCAGTCACTCCCCCTCACATAATAACACACTAACAACCCACATCCCCCACATCAACCGACAAAGTTATAGTTTTCCTCAGAGATGTTTTGTTATGTTTATTACATAATTACATTCATTCAAGGTGTTTGACAGGCACTACATATAGCTTTAATAATCTGCTTTCGGTTCTATTTACAGTCATTACATCACAGATCATGAAGCGGATCATTTACAGAACCAGAAAAAGGCTTTGAAAGTATACATGCAAAATAAAGTGATCTGTGACCATTATAAGTGTTGTAGATAAAAACCCTTAAATCATATGAAATCATAGCTGTCTATACATATTTACACACTAAAAGTAAAGCTAGTTACAAAGTTACATGCACATCACATAAAATTTATTGTAAACCAGTCTGTATAGATAAAAAATAACTTTTGAAATGATGTAAAATACAGACAAAATATACTGTATGTCCAGAAGTTTATGAACATCCCTTCCTGTTAGTGGAGTCACCCACTGCTGAAAAAGCTGGTATAATCTCCATAGAGAAGTACTGACCAATTGAATGGGACACTCTAGAGCAGCTGCACATTAGCTTAAGGTCACCATGTCCAGTGGGCTAGAGGGGTATAAAGCCCCCCAGCATTGGGCTGTGGAGCACTGGAACTGGGTTCTCTGGAGTGATGGAGCCCTAATACCTTTGGGATGATTGTTGATCCAGAACTGACCATCCAACATCAGTACCTGACCTCACTAATGCTCAATCAAATCCTCACAGCAATGTTCAACATCTAGAAGCCTTACCAGAAGAGTAGAGGCTGTTACTGCAGCACAAACCCACTATTAACACCTTCATTTCGGAAGAAACTCTGGAGGAGCAAACAGTGTATATCCAAATTAGATACGGTTCTACCAGAACTGAACCAGGGGATGAGGACTGGAGGCTAATTAGACCTTACTGAACAGCACTAACCAGACCAGGGGTCACTACTGTTATAACTCAAAGTAAACAACAATCACATAACTCTCATTGTACATCCCTATATAAATACAAAATACTTTTTGAACATGTTTATGAACAAGTTCACCAAAAATATATTACAGCTGTCCTCTAAACAAAATATATCTTCTATTTTATTTACAGTGCAGATATTTTTTATGTATCACTCTGTTTTGCACTGATTTACCAGATGTTCATTGACTGTTACAGTCTCTGTCTGTTACAATTAAACCCAACAACTTAACATGGGGTAAGTTGTAACATCTGCACATAAACAGGTGTTAGATAAAAAGGTCATTTGTAACAAAGACATTTTGGCTGCTTATATAAACAAATCATCAACTTTCAACTCAAATACTTGTAAACTTTGCTGAGGCACAGTTTGTGTTGGCCGTCTACCAGCAGATCACACAGCCACTGTTTAATACAGCCATCACACTGACGTATATAAAAAGCCTAGAAACACTGCTGACCTGACACACTTGTACTCATGTTACTACATGATACAACTGCTGAGTTAGTTTACCTGTGAGCCTTATTATGTTATGAAAGTGGAATTTACAGAACATATATACCTGAAAAAAGGTTTTTCTCCTACTCAACTCAACAATGCAATATATATATACATACATACATCATCTAAACCACTTATCCATCTGGGTCGCGGTGGGGTGCTGGAGCCTATCCCAGCTGTCATTGGGCGGAAGGCAGGATACACCCTGGACAGGTCGCCAGTCCATCGCAGGGCAGACAGACAGACATACACAGTCACACACACATTCACACCTAGGGGCAATTTTAGCATGTCCAATCAGCCTGACTGCATGTCTTTGGACTGTGGGAGGAAACCGGAGTACCCGGAGGAAACCCACGCAGACACGGGGAGAACAGGCACACAGAAATGACCCTGGTCACCCGGCCGGGAATCGAACCCAGGCCATTCTTGCTGTGAGGCGACAGCGCTACCCACCGCGCCACCGTGCCGCGCACATATATATATGCATGCGCACTAAGAGGAGAAACATAATCAGGAACTTTGGTTATAAAGTGGTTTGGTTAGTTGGGTATAAATCTGATATAAAGCTCTGCATATGAATCACTGGAGTTCTGTCAGTAACAGTCAGTGAAGAAAAATGTTCAACTGACTTTTGTTATTTTAAAGTTTTAAAACAAAATCAACATAAAAATACAATTTTATGTAACAAAATTACGTTTTTTGATAATGTACTTAATGAACATGAGCAGTTGGATCACCTGACATTTTTAGACTTTTTTTTTAGGGGCAAAAAGAATACAATCAATTTCTATGGATGCACCGAAAATTGTTTTGCATTAAGTTAAATAACTTGATATATATGTTATGTATTTATTACATTTTTGGGGGAAAATAATGTACTTACATACAAAAAAATGCAAATCATGTCAATGACCCAATGACAATATGTCTTATCAAAGCGCAGTGAGTGAGTGAGTGAGCTGCTCAGTCAATGTTGTACTACGTTGTAATTGAGTTATCAGTTTCCCACAGTTCTTGTTAGCCAGTGTGTGAATCAGTTTTCACTGTGGAGTGATTCACTACATACAGAACCATCAGATTTATAGAGGAATCAGAGTTACAGGTTATTGTTGGTCAGGAGGCAGGATGTTCTGTTCTTCTGTATTCTGATTGTCCATTCCACTTCTAACACATCTCATCTCACATCCTCCTCCACACGGACTACTGTTCACAACCAAGGCACGTTAGCTGTTTTGTCTGGATTGGGCGGGTCATCTACAAAACAAGAGCACACAAAGATTTGAAACAGTGTGAGAACTAATAACACAGTAGAGATGTTAGAGTGTCATGGTGTTAGAGTGTCAACACTCATAGCCACAGTAACTCTGCTGTCCATGCCTGTTATAAACACAAGCTTCACTGCTAATTCGTAATATCACACACAGTGGCTACCAAACAAACAAAAAGATATTATTATTGGTCATAAAATCGGACTGCTTTTTCACAACACAGCCATTCTTGTTTTTGGATGTATTAGTAGAGTTAACTTCTCCTCATGTGATGCTGATACACATACAGTTAAAGTTAGCTGCTTGCCTCAGCCAGCTGAAAAAGTTCTTCACTCTTTCACTCAGACAATCCTAATACCTTACCTTAGAATGGCACTGAGATATTACTGAGCTGTGATACTTTGTGGCTTCCATGCGCGGCTCCCCAAAGTTAACCCCATAAGTACCTTTTTGCTTCCTTAGAATTATTTATCGTTTCATACACGTAGGTTTTAATGACTGAACAGAACCCTTCTTTTTGAGGTTAAAAGGGTGAAGAAGTTGTTCAAAGTTTTAATGTTAAAGCATAAAGTGAATGTAATGTGTTGAACTAAATGAGTGAATGGAGATGTTCATATTTTGTAAATATTTTTGAAATTTTTTACCACTTGTGATGTTTTTTTTACCACCTATGTTGAACTAAATCACTCCTAGTCCAGCAGTTCCTGAACAGTAACTTGCTGAACAGAAAGTATTTAATTCAGTGCTGCACTGCTAACAGCTGCTGCTGTCCTCCCAAATTAAGGAAAACACTGAATCTGTAAAAATCTAACTAAATTCATACCTCTGACGGTCACTGTGTAGACATGAATGTCCTCCTTAGTTCTGGCATCCCGGATGGTGTAAACTCCACTATCAGACAGATTCACTCCTTTCAGCTCAAGAGCAGTTGATACTCTTTTTTTATAATCACCATTACACTGTGGCGAGCGTCCATCCACTGTACAGATCTGACCACTGGGAGAACCACCTACACCTGTGCTCTCATAAAGCACCTCCACTGGATCTGGTATTTCCAGATCCAATACCAGTGATTCACTGGATCTTATCTTAACTGTAGAATTCAGAGCTAAGAAGAGAAACATAATCAGGAAATTTACTATAGTTGGGTATAAATCTGATATAAAGCACTGCATATGAATCACTGGAGTTCTGTCAGAAACAGTCAGTGAAGAAAACAGATGAACAGACTTACCATTAATGATTAATTCCACATCACTGAGGTCTGTCCCATCACACTGACATGTGTACAATCCTCTCATACTGAAATCAGCATCAGTGATGTAGAGAGACAGATCTCCCTTCAGGTACTGAGCATAGATCATCTGATATCCAGCTTTTACTGACTGACATGAAGTCTGATCACACTGAGCCACAACATGTCTGGGATTTCTGTTTCTGAACCATGTAGCCAAACCACAGAATTTTTCATAGCAGGGCAGAGAAGCATTCCCGTGAAGATGTGCCATTACTGAAAGAACAGCTAACAGAGACAGAGGAAGAGATTAAAATATTGATTTTCATGATGAAAGTTCATTAGTAACTCTGCGTATGGCTACTGCTCCATTAACATGATTGATGAATGTACATCACAGATTTATTGATTGGTTAACGTTTACATGAAACTGTGAACATCACTGTTTATACACAGTCTAAATGAGGGATGAGATCTCCCAGGGTTCAAATTTTATGTGGCCGAACTGTCCCTCAATAAGCCCATCTGCGTTACAAGCACATGTGCACTTAAGGAACGCACCAAAATCTCAGCCTCCTTATTTAGTGAGGCCAAGAGATTTTTGATCAACAACTGATCATGTGACCAGCATATGGATCCACATGGCATTTTCAGGTTTTTTGAGGAAAAACAAAAAGGAAGAGGAAGAGAAAAATGTTGGCTAAAAAAACAACAAAAAATGTTAAAATAAAAAACCAATTGTGTCTTAAATTTCAAGACTCTAGTCTAAACTTGGTGAAGGCACATCTTCTGAGTGAATTATCTACTATTGCCATCAAATTTTCATCAGTATGATGAGCTGGACCTTCTTTTTGAGTCTGTGGGTGTGACGTTAACACAAAGACGTACAACGTGGTGTGAAAATCTCCCAATTTCAAAATTTCGTCTTAGTGAAGGGTTGATAAGGAGCTGATTAAAAACACAAAACTGTGCATAGGAGTGAGGACCAGCACCAGGGCTGAGTGGTTTAGATATAGCGAAAATAAACACCCTTCCCCCCACCCAGTGTACACGTCTGCATAAGAAAGCAAAATCTGAAGCTGCTGCCGAAACAAGACCAGACAAGCCCGGTTTAACTGAACCACCCTCAGCTGCACAGCATTTGTTACGCAAGTGTCTGATAAAAAAAAAAAAGTTTTCACATGCGAAAATGTATGTGTTTACATGTGGAAACATGTTCACATGTGAATATGGTTGCTTGTAAACAGTTTTTGTACATGCTCATGTTCATGTGAAACCTATGTGACTTTTCTGTAGAAGACGAGATACAGAATGAAATTTCTTTTGATGTGTTGATTGCTTTTTTTAAATTATTGCTTTTGTCTTCAAAAAATTCTTCGTCCACACAAATAGCTTTTTTGAAAATCTCTTCTCCATCCACATTAGAACACTTGTGAAAATCATTTCAAAAACGTGAGCATGCCAGCAGGGGGTTGATTACATGCCATGAAACAATGTAAAACATGTCACAAAAGAACATTGTGAGCATGGCTACGTCTGCAGAGTTGAATGAAACATACTTTACTATCTGATTTTGGCTGATTTCTGACCCATGGCCTCACTAAATACACTGGCAGAACTGACCAGCGTATGGATCCACATGGCAAACCGAAGAACTGAAAAAAACAGAGGAACTCAAGAGTTTTCCAAGCGTTTCAGTCCATTTGAGGACTTTTTCCAAATTTGGTTAATGATCATCTAATCACATATCCTTAGATTCTGATGTCTCTGCACTACGATTTAATGAAAAACTAAACTGTTCCAGGTGAGGACACAGCCACCAAGTATGACCAACAAGTGTCCCAGAATGTAAACTGTAATAATATTTTAATTTTCAATGTTACATTTATTCATCAACGTAACTAAAGCTGGGTCAGAAGCCATAATGTCACCATACCAACAAATCACCGAGCACACAGAGACCCACAAGCTCTATTCCAGACATGTTTTACAGTTCCACATGCTCAATACATGAAAACAGCAACGACAGTTAACGGTTGATGGCAGTGTTTTCAAAAAGCTGCATTTTGCCTTTCGTCCTAAAACATTAAAAAACTGAGAGAAATCTAAGTAACAAATGCTTATTCTCTTGCTGTTAGCATACATGGTGTTACCATTAGCATAGTAGAAAAAGTCCATAACGTCTTAGTTGAAAAAGTTCTCCTTTAAAAACGCAACGGTTTAGCAGTTAAGACCACTTCAGTTAAGACCTGCTGGTGCTTTAATGGTTCTGTGTCTGCTTATTTCTAGTACTCTATAGTGCTGGGGTGCTCAGTCCTGGTCCTGGAGATCGACAACCATGTAAAGTTCAGATCCAACGCACCTGTCTCTGATATTCAGATGCCTCTAAAGGCCTTCATTACCTGGATTACACATTACCTGTGTTTGATTAGGGTTGTAGATAAACTCTGGAGGTCGATCTCCAGGACCAGGACTGGGCTCCCCTGCTATAGTGAATAAGAATCTTCCTGAACACCTGCTTCTGACTGGAGATGTGACATATTATGTTACTGCACAGCACATAACACAACTGTCTTTAACTCATTTCACTAATGAAGGAAAACAGATGAACACTTACACACAATGTGAAGATGCACATCAATGATGGGCTTATGATCGCACTGACATGTGTACTCGCTGATCTTACTGAGATCAATGACAGATATGAAAAGGGAGTTATTCCCCTTCAGGTACTGATCATAGAACATCTCAAATCCATCCTTCACTGACAGGCATGAAGTCTGGTTACACTGAGCCACAACAACACTAGAGTTCTGGGACCATGTGACCAAACCAGAACATCTATCATAGCAAGGGAGAGTCGCTGGGTCATTAAGCTTCACCTTTACTTCAGTGAAAGCTGTTCCAGACACTGAAAAATAGGATAAGAAGGAATTGGTTATTCATTTTGTCTTAGCGAAAGCACCAGTATTACAACAGCATGGACATTAAGCACTCTAGAGAAAGAAAGCTAATCAATCAAATCTTATTCAGCGCTGCCCCGTAAAGAAAACTTTACCCAATACAAATGAGGACTTCCACTATTTCCAAAAATTCAAACGGGTCTTACATAAATAAGCTTCCTATTACTTCTTCTAATTCTTTTCAGCACTCGGGGGAAGAGTGAGCGTGCATTCCTGAACCACAGAACCCAAGCATACACTGTAAAAACAAACCCCAACACTACACTGAAAAAACAAAACCCAAAATTATACTGTAACACCAAAATCCAACAATGCACTGTGAAACAGAACCTAACATTGCACTGTAGAAATAGAATCCAACACTGCACTACAAAAAAAGAATTCTACACTACACTGTACCAACAGAACTCAACACTCAAATGTAGAAACAAAAACCAAAACTCAAAACACTGTACTGTAGAAAAAGAACAGATCACTCTAACATAGAAAAAGAAATCAACACTAAATGTGAGAAACAGAGCCCATCACTGCACTGCAGAAACAGAATTCAACACTGCACTGGAGAAACAAAACCCAAACACTGCAATGTGGAAACAGAGTTGAGTAGTGTACTGTAGAAACAGAACCATAAACTCAACTGTAGAAACAGAACCCATCATTGCAATGTAGAAAAAGAATTCAACACTGCACTGTAGAAAAAGAACCCAATGCTTAACTGTTGAACCTATTTTAACACTGCACAAACTGAATTCAGTAGTATACTGTAGAAACAGAACCTAACACTGCGCTGTAGAAACAGAACCCAACACTGCACTGTAGAAAAAGAAACCAACACTCAAGTGTAGCAACAGAAACCAACATGCAATTGTAGAAACCAAATTTAACACTAGAAACAGAATTCAGTACTGCACTGTAGAAACAGAACAACACTAAAATGTAGATTGGATTGGATTCTCTTTCTACAGTTGAGTTTATGGTTCTGTTTCTACACTACACTACTGAATTCTGTTTCTACATTTCAGTGTTGGGTTCTGTTTCTACAGTTCAGTAATGAATTCTGTTTGTTCATTGTAGTGTTAAATTAATTTTCTACAATTGCATGTTGGTTTCTGTTGCTACATTTGAGTGTTGTTTTTTTTTCTACAGTGCAGTGTTAAATTCTTTTTGTACAGTTGAGGGAGTTCTGCAGTGTTGGGTTCTGTTTTTACAGTGCAGTGTTATTCTTTTTCTACAGTTGAGTGTTGATGTTCTGTTTTATACAGTTGAGTTTACAGTTTTTTTTCTACAGTGCAGTGTTGAGTTCTGTTTCTACAGTATACTACTGAATTCTATTTGTACAGTGCAGTGTTAAAATAGGTTTCTACAGTTAAGCATTGGTTCTGTTTCTACAGTGCAGTGTTGAATCCTTTTCCTAGAGTGCAATGATGGGCTCTGTTTCTACATTTGAGTGTATGATTCTGTTTCTACAGTACACTACTCAACTCTGTTTCTACATTGCAGTGTTTGGGTTCTGTTTCTCCAGTGCAGTGTTGAATTCTGTTTCTGCAGTGCAGCGATGGGCTCAACGTTTAATTGTAAAAATAGAATTCAACACTGCACTATAGAAACAGAATTCAATACTGCAATGCAGAAACAGAATTCAGAACTTTTCTATAGAAATAGAACCAAACTGTAAATATCTAATTCAACTGCACTGTACAAACAGAACCCAACACTGCAATGTAGAAACAAAATTAAATACTGTACTGTACAAATAGAATTTAGTTGTATACTGTAGAAACAGAACCTAAACACCCAAATGTAGAAACACAATTGAACACTGCACCATAGAAACAGATTTCAATACTGCACTGTAGAAACAGAACTCAACACCTTACTGCAGAACAGAATTCAATACTGCATGATGGAAACAGACCCCAACATTGAACTGTACAGAATTTAACACTGAACTGTAGAAAAAGAGCCCAACACCCAAATGTAGAAATACATTTCAACACTGCACCATAGAAACAGAACTGTACACTCAACTGTAGAAACAGTCAAACACTGCACTGTAGAAACAGAATTGAACATTTGACTGTGAGAGCAGAATCTAACCCGGCACTGTGGAAACAGAATGCACATCCTGTATGTGTTCTAGCATGTTCTATATCTACCATCCAGTATGTTTTCTACTCTCTACTGTCTGAGTTCTACCATGTTCTAAATCTACCATGTTATACATGTTCCTCCATGTTCTAGATCTATAACCCCGTATATGTTCTACCATGTTCTATATCTACCATCCTGTATGTGTTCTACCATGATTCACCAAAACTGGTTCTGATTATAACTGGCCTGAGTGACCAGTGCTCACCAAAACACACTCAAAATTTGATTCACAGTATTTGCTAAATGTAGGTAACAACACACTGTCAGGAGAAAGATCAGTGCAGTACTTACCAGTAGCGAATGTAGTGGTCAGAAAGATCAGGACAAAGAGAGCAGAACTGCAGGACTGCATGACTGACCTACAGACACACAAACACCATCGGTACTGACCAACAACTGTATATTCATGATTATATAACCAAAAACTAAAAGGCAGAAGAAATACCTAGAATGTACAATGATCAGCTACAAAAGGTTCTACATTCTGAAGATCTGAAATTCTGTTTACCACCCCGAACAAGCTTGTGTGTTCGGATAAATAATATCTGTTGTGAAAGGCCGCATGGTGGCGTGGTGGGTAACGCAGTCACCTCACGGCAAGAATGGCTTGGGTTGTTGATATTTGGAAATTCAGCCAAAACCTTCTAGTAATTTATTTATTTATTCTTCCTCATTCATTGGGAAATATATTCATCTAAAAACAATCTTTAGAAAATGATTTTGTTGATTGATTTTATTTTCTCTGCTGAAAAAGGCCATTTGAATACATTGAAGCTTTTGATCATGTTAACCTGGACACAGTTTTTTATTTCTTTAAAGTAAATGTTTTTACTTCTAAAAATGATGTGACTACATTATGACAGAAAGATTCAGTGGGTCTCTTCATTTTGGATTAATTGAAATCTACTAGAGTGATATTTGTTCTACTGTTCAAAAAACCTGAGAACATTACGAGACATGCAGCCAAAGTCATGTCTGGAAAAGATTTTAAAAGTAAGGACAAAAAGTTACATGTTATGAGTCTAATTTTAATTTGATTTTCACACTATAAATTGCTACAAAGTACGTTTATTCTCTCAGTCCTGCTTAAGAGAGATGCTAAAGTTATCTTATGTATTAATGTATGAAACAAAAGGAAACCAGTACTAGCTAATAAAGGTAGAAAGGTACAGTTAAGATCCTGCTACTTGGAAAGACTTCTTACATTCTTTTAATGGAAACTCCAGAAGAATATCATTTGGTAAATGTAATTATATGAATAATTAGACAGCTGAGGTGAAGGAGGTTTATCCTGTCTCATCTTCCTCTACCTGAAAAGGCGTGTTAGTGATGGTGGCCGCAGCCTCACAGTTTCTGTCTCTTTGTTTACCATATGTGAAACTGTCCTGAGGTAAAAAATCTGCTTTCTGTCTGAAATAAGGTCTTTACTCTGATGAATCTTCTTCATTTATCGCATAAAACCAATAAAAACAGTTAACTATATACAACGAAACAGTATTGGAGCCGTTTTTACACGTGTAACTGAAGTACGCTTTTTTCTGTGGTCCCTTCAAAGTCGCCATTTTACACATCACCTCAGTACAAGACTGGCAGAACAATAAACAGACTTTTCCTGCTTTGAGATGAACTCTGAGAGTCTTAATGATGTTCAGAAAAAAACATTTGTAGCAACGTACCTTAAACTTAAGTTCCTGGAGTTTCTTCTCTCTTTCTAGAAGAACAAACAGACCGTTTTTTTATCCTCCTCTGTTGCGGATGTTTTGGAGAGTGAAGATGGTAAAGGCGGAGATCTTCAGCAGAACCGACCGTTAATAATGAAACACTGATAATAATCGTCTTTAAGCCGTGACTGTGTGTTTAATGGAGCTGAGTGTAGGACTGTATGTGAAAGTATAAAGTGAAGAAAGACTGTAGTTAAGCAACTGTAGTCTACAGGTGTGATCCGCAGTATGACCTAGAGTATCTGTTTTCATAGTGATGGGCAGATGATGCCGAGGCTTCGGAGCTGGTGTCGAGAAATCCAGGAAGTCGTTTATGAAGTGCGTATCGAGGCTTGCTTCCTTAAGGGCGAGTGACGTCTTCGACGACGTCTGAAGCCTCGCTGGTTCAGGCAGTGGTTCGACTTTTGGCGTGATGTATGATCCCCGCAAAATGTGCGTGTTAGTGTTCGCGTTTCGCCAGTTTGCTTGTGACATAGAGGAACTTGTCATGGAGCCTGGTAAGAGGAGAAGAGTCTCCCCTGTATGGCAACACTTTGAGCAGATCTCTCCCAGTAAGGTGTTACACATAATGTGTCTGAATATAATGAAATGTGTTACTGCTATAAGACTCACAAGTCGTTTCTTTCATTCAAAGGTTAAGTGTTTGTTGTGTGCCAAGCAACTGGGGTACAACAACAGCACCTCATCTATGCTGAGGCATTATCGGGCCTATCATGAAAATAGTGAGGGGAAAGGAGTCGGACCAGCCAAGGTGGGTATGCTTTTCCATTTTTCATATTTGTTTATTATCCATGATAATAATGACACTGACAATACTGATACTATATTCATCATACACATCACAAAATAAAAACAAACAAAAACAACCAGTGCACATGTTCATCTAATTACTTAAGACATGCAAATACTGTAATTAAACCATAACCTAATTTTACTTTTGCACTGTTAACATTATTATGCACATGTAAAATGTGTATATACTGTGCATATATAGTTCTATATTGCATTATCCTCTGTACCTTACATGCTATTTGCAATTCGGATTGGACGCTTACGTGAATTTCATTGGTGAGTAGTGTACTTTTCAATGACAATAAAGTTTAATCTAATCTTTACAAGGCAGTGACCAGAAAGGAGGAGCTGGATGAGGCTTTGGTCTCCATGATTGTTAAAGACACACAGCCATTCAGCATAGTTGAGGATAAAGGCTTCAGGGACTTTGTAGCTAAATTGGATCCAACCTATGTTCTCCCAACTAGGAAGGTATGTGTGATGACATGGATAAAGTACTGAAATACTTCAGTACTACTAAAGTAGTACTAAAGTAAATAATCATTATTTTCTACCTTCCCTTTAGGCTGTAAAGGCCATGACTGAGGCCAAATATCAACAAGAGAAAGAGAAGGTGAAAGCTGAGGTCCAGAAAGTCCCTGCAGTGAGTTTGACAGCAGGCATGTGGACATCTCTCAATATGGATGCCTACTTGGCTGTAACCTGCCATTTTATAGATCACAACACATGTCTGAAATCTACACTACTACAGTGTAGTGAAATTCCCGCAGGCACACACAGCTGAAAATTTGGCCTGTGTGAAATCCTCCCTCATGGAAGAATGGGGAATAAAATCAAAAGTCACATGTCTTGTTCCTGATGGCACATCTAATATGATTGCCTGTGGCAGGAACCTGAAGCTGCGCCATGCAGTCTGCATTGCTCACACCCTGAATCTAGTTGTTAAAAAGGCTCATGAACTAACCCCAGTGCTGTCCACCATTCGTACAAAGGCAAGGAAGCTGGTGGGCTATTTTAGGAGCAGCACAACTGCCAAAGTCAGTAACATTTATTTTCATATTTGTTTACACATTGTTTTATATTGCTACATATGTAAGATTTACTTTTTTATCTTTAAAGGAGAAGCTGGACCTTCAAGAGCAGATGGGAAATCCAAAAAAGAAACGGATTCAGGAGGTTGAAACAAGGTGGAACAGCACATTTCAAATGCTGGAGTGAGTAGCAGAACTCAGGGAGCCTGTGGGGGCAGCTTTGGCTGGCTTACAAACTGACATTACTGCGCTGACCTCTGATGACTACAATAATATTTGTGGGTGCCTGTCTATACTGTCTCATTTTCACGAGGCTACTATGGAGCTGTCAGAGGAGAAAAAGGTATCTGGCTCCAAAGTGGTGCCATTATTGAAAATGGTTGAAAAGATACTCCAGAAAGAGCCAGCAAAGGCAACGGTCCCAGTAGCTAGGGAGCTGGGAGACCATCTCATCAGGCTCCTTAGGGAAAAGCTCGACAAAGTCCAAAGCATGAGCATTATGTCGCTGGCAACACTACTAGACCCAAGATACAAATCACTTGGCTTCTTTAGCCCTACAAAGGCAGATGAAGCAATAAAACGACTCACCTTTGAATGTGCCAATGTAATCTCACATTCATCTCCAGCTGCAGCTTCAACATCACAGGATGCCGTAGCTGAAAGACCTGGTCAGTATTTTTGCTTTGGTTTAAAGTCAATTTTGGAATTATGACCTCATTTATATTATCAGTTTTTGCTTCTCAGGAAACAAACTGTGGTTTCATTTAGATACCATGGTCACTGAGTCCAGAAGAATTCAGTGTCACAGCTGATGCCACAGTTGAAGTGCAGAGATACCTGGCAGAACGGAACATCGGCAGAACAGAGGATCCCCTTGAGTACTGGGAGAGGCAGAGGTGCATATATCCAAGCCTATGCAAGCTTGCTGTGGGATACTTGTGCACCCCTGCCTCCTCAGTACCATGTGAAAGGGTTTTCTCCAAAGCCGGAGAGGTTATTTCCAAAAAGAGAAACCGACTCCAGTCCAAGCACGGTGGAAAAAATATTGTTTCTTAATAAAAATGAATAAAGTTACCATCACCACACAATCTCTGTCTCATCTCTTGAAAGCACTGCGACAGTTTTAACATAAACATCTCATGTCCTGTTGGATTTATTTATTGACTGAAATCCTACTGGAAAGTTTTTTGACCTCTATTACCATTACCCACACATTAATCCAAAACAGACTAGGTGAATAAATGAATGAACCACAGAACATCAAATTAAGGTGTTTTATTCTTGGCAGTGATTATTCCCATGCTGACAATGTTGCAAGACAGCCAAGAGACCATCACAAATAGTTGAAATGACAAAAAAGGTTTTGACCAGCAGGGGGGTTTGTGGGCGCATGAAGCTTCAAGAAATGAACCTTTTTTTGAACCAGCTGGATGGAATGCCTCAAGGCTTCATGAGGCTTCATCTGGCCATCACTACTGGTTTCTCCTCTGTTGTGGGTGTTTTTGGAGAGTGAAGATGGTAAAGGCGGAGATCTTTAAGCACGTCTTTAAGCCGTGACGGTAGTGTTTAATGGAGCTGAAGGTCGGACTGTGTGAGAGGAGAAAGTGAAGGAGTGGAGTTAAATAACTAGTTTGCAGGTACGACCTACAGGTATGATGCACCTTCCTCTTCATCCAGCCTCCACTGATAATAACAATAATAATGCGTTATTAAACAGCGCCACCTGCTGGACTATGGGAACACTACAATCATTGAAACCTTTTTAAGAGGCCAAGTTCACTCTTTAAAAGCTCTTCACATCTTCTTAACAGAAGCATTCAACTCAGCACAGCAGTTTATTTTATACCCACAATGCTCTACAGCTATAAAAACACAGAAACATCTTAAAATACATTCATTCTATCAGAACGTTAACACTGGAGTTCCTACAGCAGGAATACTCTAGAACAGGGGTTCTCAACCTTTTCCACCTCAAGGTTTGTTTGTCACTAGTAACCATGAAGGCCTACAAGAAAACAAACTCACCTTTTTACTTAACGATTTTACTTATACACTGTGTCCACTCCTGCGTAACGCCTGCGTGACGTGCATCAGTGGACATTAAAATATCAGCAGTTCGTAGTGTTGCAGGTGGACAGCTGAAACATCGGGGAAAGAATATTCGGTTTCAAGTCAAGAGGCAAAAACTCTTTTGTGCTGTTTTCGCAGGCCTCCTTTCAGTGTTGTTTTCTGTTTGGAAACATTTTATACTTTTTTATCATTAAGTCAGTTATTATTTTATAACAAGCTGCCATTGCAGGCCCAGTACGGACCACTGGGACCCCCTCAGTACGGGCCTGAGGGTGTTTCAAGCCCACAGTGGTTAAGAAACCCTGCTCTAGATCAGAGCACAGTCACCTCAGAAACACTGCTGGCATTAATCAAATCAGCTCATTAACAAACCCTCCATGACTTAAGGTGAGTGTGTTAAAGCAGGGAAACCTCCAGAACCAGGATTCAGAACCTGTGTGTTAACTAACATATAAAAAAACAACAACACATTAATTTCATAACTATCTTTAATAAACATCAGCAAACTGTAAAAATGGAAAACAGTTTGGTGTCTCATTTATACTGAAGAACAACACGGTCATTATCAACATCCTGTAACAAATCATAGCTGTTCAAAGAAAAACAAATGTCTCTCTTTTTTCTTTTTTATTTGGACAGCAGCGATTTGTTATTCAACTTACATTTAAAACAAAAATTCCTTCTTCTGTAAAGTATCTTTTTGGAGATACCAGCTTTTATTCTGATAGAGACAACGTAAAACATCTGTAGACGTCGCTGTGACATACTGTCTGCTCTATATTATAAACTACACTGTACTGTCAGACTGTTAGCGGGTTAGCAGTCCTGTAGCACTAGTTTAAAAAATACCCTGTAATAAACCTGTAAAAGGTCTGGCTGCCAGTAACATCATCATCCTTCATTTAAGTAGGATACTCTGGTAACTCTCGTTCTAGAAACATTACATGAAATATTTCTGCAAAGTGTTATAAACCTTTGTAGTTTAAATACCCTGTGTGTTTATTTTCCTGTATTTACAATGACCAGCATTCCCTCTGACATAACACTTCTGTATTCAGCTGTATGTAAATACACAAATTAAACACTACAACACACAAAGTTACAACAAGCACCCAGTAAAGAAAACAGCACTAAATTCAGTGTCCCAAACACGGCTTTACAGGGTTAGACGATAAAGTGCATAAATAAAATAATCTTCAGCCGTGAGTTTCAGTGAAGTTCTCTAATGAGAACATGCTGGACTGTCCACACTGTTAAAAGCAACTGACCATTTCCATATGTAAATGTAAAGAGGGGCCCTACCTGGTTACCTTTTTTTGGTGGTCATGCATTTTTAATGACACCACAGCAGGTTACATAAGGGCTGCAGCATCATGATGGCAGCGCACCAACCACAGGGCTAGACACATCATATTTTTTCCAATGGAAACACAACAAAAGCAAGATTACACACACATTAACGAGATTTTAAATTTATAATCATTTTAATCAATTTATTATTATTCTACACTCAAAAAATTAAACGCTACTCCTCCCACAGTGTTCATGTTAGAACCACGAAACTGCATGATCTTCAGTCCTTTACCCGATTACTGCGCGTGTGCTTTTCTAAGCGATCTGACGAAGTTTTCGTAAAATTATCGTTCAAAGACGATATTTTTCCCATAGGGAATGAATGGGCGGAACGTTGGCAACATTCAAATTAACTGCCACAAATGATGTCACAATGGACACCTCTCACACACACACTCACACAGAGTACACACAGACTCACACACACACAGCCTAATGCACAGCAGTATCAGCACACATAACGAATTTAAGGTGGAACCGATTTTAAGGAAGCACTGAATTTAAGGTTGAACTGAAATTAAGGTGAAACTGCATTTAAGTTTGTACTGAATTTAAGGTAGCAGTGAATTTAACGCTAAATGTAAGGTGAAACTCCTTTTAAGGTAGCACTAAATTAAAGGTGACACAGAATTTAAGGTGGAACTCTCTTTAAGGTAGCACTAAAATTAAGGACCTTCATTTAAGTTGGCACAGAATTTAAGGTGGAACTTCAATTAACATAGCACTAAATTTAAGATGGCACAGAATTTAAGGTGGTACTCTCTTTAAGGTAGCACTAAAATTAAAGTGGAACTGAAATGAAGGTGGCACTGAATTTAAGGTGGAACTACATTTAAGGGAGGACTGAATTTAAGGTGGGACTCTATGTTAGGTAGTGCTAAAATTAAGGTGGCATTGAATTTAAGGTGGAACTACATTTAAGGTGGCACCGAATTTAAGGTGGAACTGCAGTTAATATAGCACTGAATTTAAGGTGGCACAGAATTTGTGTTAACGTGTG